CACACATAGAGGCACACAGACTCACACAGAGAGACACAGACTCACACAGAGAGACACAGACTCACACAGAGAGACACGTAGACTCACAGCGACACGCAGGCTCCCATCGGGTCCAGTGTTTAATCCGTGGCGATTCTGGGAGTGCATCTTACTATCAACACAAAGAAAAAACCTGGACTGGTTTTTATATTCAGTGTATCATCAGCAGCGCCAGGCTTTGTTTGAAGCAATCCCTGTGAACTGCACGGATGTTTGTAAGTAATAATTGGTTTCAACACGCAGTGTCTCATCAGCAGTCGGGCTTTGTTTGAACCAATCCCTGTGATCTGCACGGATGTTTGTTGGCAAGAATTGGTTTCAACATGCAGTGTCTCATCAGCAGTCGGGCTTTGTTTGAACCAATCCCTGTGATCTGCACGGATGTTTGTTGGCAAGAATTGGTTTCAACATGCAGTGTCTCATCAGCAGTCGGGCTTTGTTTGAACCAATCCCTGTGATCTGCACGGATGTTTGTTGGCAAGAATTGGTTTCAACATGCAGTGTCTCATCAGCAGTCGGGCTTTGTTTGAACCAATCCCTGTGATCTGCACGGATGTTTGTTGGCAAGAATTGGTTTCAACATGCAGTGTCTCATCAGCAGTCGGGCTTTGTTTGAACCAATCCCTGTGATCTGCACGGATGTTTGTTGGCAAGAATTGGTTTCAACACGCAGTGTCTCATCAGCAGTCGGGCTTTGTTTGAAGCAATCCCTGTGATCTGCACGGATGTTTGTAAGTAATAATTGGTTTCAACACGCAGTGTCTCATCAGCAGTCGGGCTTTGTTTGACGTAATCCCGGTGGTCTGCACGGATGTTTGTAAGAAAGGACGCAGTGTCTCATCAGCAGTCAAGCTTTGTTTGAAGAAATCCCTGGTGAACTGCACGGATGTTTATAGGCCAAGGCCCTCTATTGTCAGATGTGGCCTCGTTGTTATTTTTGTTATGCAAAGGAAAATCGGTGCCGTGTGTCGAACAGAGGTCGCAACCGGGTACCCGATACCCGTACCCTACCCGATACCCGGCTACCCGTACCTGGCCGGGTACGGGTACCCGTTTGCGACCCTGGTGCGGCCGGGTACGGGTACGGGTAGGCCATGAGTCACTGGTGAGTCACCGTTTGTCACTCATTTCCCAACGTCTTGTCTCTTCTCACAATTCAAGTTCCTAGAATCAACCCACCCGCGCCTGCAACATGGCTTCATCCCAGAGGTCGCAATCAGGTACCCGATACCTGTACCCTACCCGTACCCGGCCGGGTACGGGTAGGGTACGGGTACGGGCCGGGTACGGGTAGGGTACGGGTACGGCCGGGTACGGGTACCCGTTTGCGACCCTGGTGCGGCCAGGTACGGGTAAGGAATCAAAACCCGTTTGCGACCTCTGGTGTCGAACCAACGCAGAGCGGATGAATAGCAAATACAGGTCGTGCGACTGATGGGATGTGTCAAAAACACACTCAACGCTTCTGATGTTTGTTCTTGTGGAGGCACGGCTACGGCGACGTACGAGACACGGCGTGTGAAAGTAATCAATTGTAAACGTGCGGAATATATTCGGTGATGTCAAGGGGCGTTGATAGATGTTCAGTGTGCTGCGTCTACGGTTAGACGTACGCGATCGGAGCGTAACCGTTTAGTTCGCGAATGCTTTCACGCGTGGCTTTGTGCGTATGTATGTTGAACTTCTTTCGCACCGTACGTAGCCAACCGTGCTAATCTGTGGGTCTCTGTGGGTCGATATGAGTGTCTGTGTCTCTGTGGGTGTCTATGGGTTTGGGTGCCTATAGGTCTCTGTGGGTGTCTATGGGTCTCTGTGGGTCTCTGTGGGTCTGTGTCTCCGTGGGTCTCTGTGGGTCTTTATGGGTCTCTGTGGGTGTCTATGGGTCTGGGTGTCTGTGGGTCTCTGTGGGTCTCTATGGGTCTCTATGGGTCTCTGTGGGTGTCTATGGGTCTGTGTCTCTGTGTGTCTGTTGAACTTTTTTGGCACCACAAACTAAACACAATACAAATACATAATGAACTTAATAAGCACGTAATACTTATGTTTTATGCCAATTATGTAATGTATATAGCCAATAGTTAAACAAACGTCAAAGGTAAATGCAATATGTTGGTGGAAATTAAACTAACCGTGAAGGCTCAAACGATACCAAGACAATATTACGCCACGTGAGGGGTGAAAGTGGCGTCTGATCACTGATTGCTCGCACGCCGGCCATTGTTACGAATTGGTAACCACGTGACCGTGGCACGTGCGCCTCGTGACCGATGCACGTGCTCCTTGTGATTTAATTCGCGATGGGGACTCCGTTTCAGTTTTCAGTTTCATTTATTAGGTATCGCCCTGTGAGCCATTCGGCTCTTGACTCGGGTGCAACCGCAACAAACAAAAAACAAAAACAAGAAAACATCTTAAAGTGACTGCGCTAACAGAAAAATCCAGAAAAAAACTGCTAAAAAATCTTCCAGAAAAAAATCACCGTACACCAACGCTCTGTGCAAAAATCCCAGTGGGATGCAAGTCAAACAACAACAAAAACAACAACCACAAGACAACTTAGATTAAGGCCATCAGTCTAACTCTGTACTACAGCAAACAAACATGGCTAAAACAAAAAAACTTTTCGAAATCACCAAAATAAAGCCATAAGCAATGTAACAGTGATCATAGGAACTGTGACCGAAATTTCACAATAAACGACAAGCATACTCTTAGGTTTTTTCGGTAAAGTCACGTAGGTAAAAAATTATAATGAATAAAAGTAAAATAAAAATAAAATAAAAATCACGACGTTTCAGAGGCAACACAAGCTTCCGTCTTCAGGTGGAACCGTCACAGCACGATAGCTGTATCAAGTAAATGAGAGATTACAAGAAACAGTCCTTGTATATATTGGTTGAGGATGGGAGTATATATACAAGGACTGTTTTCTTGGAATTTCTCTTACTTGATACAGCAATTGTGCTGTGACATAATAAAATAATTCTCACGACGTTTCGGCCACAACGCAAGCAGCCGTCCTCAGGTGAAGAAACAGGTCTGTCGAGAAGACAGCGTCTGACCTGTTTCTTCACCTGAGGACGGCTGCTTGTGTTGTGGCCGAAACGTCGTGTTAATTATTTTATTATGTTTTATTTTTATTATTTTATTACTTCCCTTCTACGTGACTTAACCGAAAGATCCAAGAAGATGTATACACTACACTACTATCCACTACATTATACACTACACTATTATACACTACACTATTATACACTACACTATTATACACTACACTACTATACACTACACTACTATACACTACACTACTATACACAACACTACTATACACTACACTACTATACACTACACTACTATCCACTACACTATACACTACACTATTATACACTACACTATTATACACTACACTATTATACACTACACTATTATACACTACACTACTATACACTACACTATTATACACTACACTACTATACACTACACTACTATACACTACACTACTATACACAACACTACTATACACTACACTACTATACACTACTATCCACTACACTATACACTACACTATTATACACTACACTATTATACACTACACTATTATACACTACACTACTATACACTACACTACTATACACTACACTACTATACACAACACTACTATACACTACACTACTATACACTACACTACTATACACTACACTATACACTACACTATTATACACTACACTACTATACACTACACTACTATACACTACACTATTATACACTACACTACACTACTATACACTACTATACACTACACTATACACTACACTATTATACCAATATAGTATTGGATCCCCTGCTGATTTTTGTACGTTTGCCCACTGACAAAGAAATGATCAGTCTATAATTTTAATGGTAGGTTTATTTGAACAGTGAGAGACAGAATAACAACAACAAAAATCCAGAAAAACGCATGTCAAAAATTGTATAAATAGATTTGCATTTTAATGAGGGAAATACGTACAAAATCAGCAGGGGATAAAATGCTTTTTTCCCTCACTATAGTGTTATGTAGTGTATAGTGTAGTGCATAATAGTGTAGTGTATAATAGTGTAGTGTATAGTGTCAATGGCCTGCAGGGTCAACGGTGGCGTGGTGTATTCCGCAAATATGCCCGACTGTGAGGGTGGGCACAAGCCGGCGTGAGTAGGTTAAACGTTGAGTTTTATAAGGGCACCACGGGGTGACCAACCCCTCCCCACCTAGCCCCACCCCCCACCCAGCCCCACCCTCCCCACCCAGCCCCTCCCCACCCTCCCCACCCAGCCCCTCTCCACCCAGCCCCTCCCCACCCTCCCCCTTCCCACCCAGCCCCTCCTCACCCTACCCAGCCCCACCCTTCCCACCCAGCCCCTCCCCACCCAGCCCCACCCTCCCCACCCTCCCCACCCAGCCCCTACCCACCCAGTCCCATCCTCCCCACCCAGCCCCTCCCCACCCTCCCTACCCAGCCCAGCCCCACCCTCCCCACCCAGCCCCACCCACCCCACCCTCCCCACCCAGCCCCTCCCCACCCTCCCCTCCCCACCCTCCCTCCCCACCCAGCCCCTCCCACCCAGCCCCTCCCTCCCCACTCTCCCTCCCTGCACGACGGACGGACACAATAATCCCGTGTGGGCTGGTCTAACCAGGAGGTTCCTACCCAGTATAACAACGCCCCGCCTATGTGTCCTGACTTCTGGGCCACTCTGTACAACGAGTGAACAGGCTTGTGATGCTCAACCGTTGCGTCTAGCCGCTCGAGGCTTGGGCCTCCTATGCATGTTCCGGGGTGCTCCTAACGGCGCCCCACCCTTCCCCTCTCCACTCGTCGTGTTAAGTGAGCAGCTTTGTCCGCCATCGCGACACGCGCCTCGCATCTAGCCGCTCGCGCGCGGCTCGCCGGCCGCTCATTCAGGTTGCGGGGCCTCCTCCCCCTTGACTGGGAACGTTGTCGTCAAAACCTCCTCCACCACCTCCTCCTCCACCACCTCCTCCACCTCCTCCACCACCTCCTCCACCACCTCCTCCACCTCTTCCTCCTCTAGATCCACCTCCTCTAGATCCTCCTTATCTGGGAGTACGTCAGTCTGGGTCTAGGCTGGGTCAGTGGGGTGGGTGAGTAGGCGTCTTCTGTGTGAGTAGAGGGTGGACAGGGTGAGGGTGAGTAGAGGGTGAGTCTGGGTCAGTGGGGTGGGTGAGTAGGCGTCTGTGTGAGTAGAGGGTGGACAGGGTGAGGGTGAGTAGAGGGTGAGTCTGGGTCAGTGGGGTGGGTGAGTAGGCGTCTGTGTGAGTAGAGGGTGGACAGGGTGAGTCTGGGTCAGGGTGAGTCTGGGTCAGGGTGAGTCTGGGTCAGGGTGAGTAGAGGGTGAGTCTGGGTCAGGGTGAGTCTGGGTCAGGGTGAGTAGAGGGTGAGTCTGGGTCAGGGTGAGTCTGGGTCTAGGAGAGTCTGAGTCAGGGTGAGTAGAGGGTGAGTCTGGGTCAGGGTGAGTCTGGGTCAGGGTGAGTCTTGGTGAGTAGAGGGTGAGTCTGGGTCAGGGTGAGTCTGAGTCTTGGTGAGTAGAGGGTGAGTCTGGGTCAGGGTGAGTAGAGGGTGAGTAGAGGGTGAGTCTGGGTCAGGGTGAGTCAGGGTGAGTCTTGGTGAGTAGAGGGTGAGTCTGGGTCAGGGTGAGTCTGAGTCTTGGTGAGTAGAGGGTGAGTCTGGGTGAGTAGAGGGTGAGTCTGAGTCTGGGTGAGTAGAGGGTGAGTCTGGGTCGCAATGTCTCTGCTGTGCTACAATCGCGGCTGCGGGCAACGCTTTGACGCGGACTCAAACGACGATGGTGAGTGGGGCCAGGCAGGGCTCACTGAGCTGCAGAAGGGAGCCTTGCTGACACGCATGACCATCCACCCACTCACCCACTCACCCACCCACTCACCCACTCATCCACCCACCCACTCACCCACTCACTCACCCACTCACTCACCCACTCACTCACCCACTCACCCACTCACTCACTCACTCACCCACTCACTCACCCACTCACTCACCCACCCACTCACCCACTCATCCACCCACCCACTCACCCACTCATCCACCCACCCACTCACCCACTCACTCACCCACTCACTCACCCACCCACTCACCCACTCACTCACCCACCCACTCACCCACTCATCCACCCACCCACCCACTCACTCACCCACTCACTCACCCACTCACTCACCCACTCACTCAACCACCCACTCACCCACTCACCCACCCACTCACCCAATCAATCACCCACCCACTCACCCACCCACCCACTCACTCACCCACTCATCCACCCACTCACCCACTCATCCACCCACTCACCCACCCACTCAATCACGCACCTACCCATTCAATCACTCGACCATCCACCCACTCACCCACCCACTCACTTGACCATCCACCCATTCAGCCACTCACCCACCCACTCGACCACCCACTCACCCACCCAATCAATCACCCACTCACCCACCCACCCACTCACTCACTCACCCACTCACCCACCCACCCACCCACTCACCCACCCACCCACTCACCCACCCACTCACCCACCAACTCACCCACTCACCCACCCACTCACTCACCCACTCACCCACCCACTCACTCACTCACCCACTCACCCACCCACTCACCCACTCACCCACTCACTCACTCACCCACTCACTCACCCACTCACCCACCCACTCACTCACCCACTCACTCACCCACTCACCCACCCACTCACCCACCCACTCACTCACCCACTCACCCACCCACTCACTCACCCACTCACCCACCCACTCACTCACCCACTCACCCACCCACTCACTCACCCACTCACCCACCCACTCACTCACCCACTCACTCACCCACTCACCCACCCACTCACCCACCCACTCACTCACCCACTCACCCACCCACTCACCCACCCACTCACCCACCCCACCCTCACCCACCCACTCACCCACTCACCCACCCACTCACCCACCCACTCACCTCGCCCACTCACCCACCCACTCACTCGCCCACTCACCCACCCACTCACTCACCCACCCACCCACTCACCCACCCACTCACTTGACCATCCACCCACCCACTGACCCACTCACCCACCCACTGACCCACTCACCCACCCACTCACCCACCCACCCACTCACCCACCCACTCACTTGACCATCCACCCACCCACTGACCCACTCACCCACCCACTCACTCACCCACTCGTCAGGGTCGAGATTGAACCCACGACCTCCTGCACACCAGGCGAGGTAGTCAACATCTCCCTGGCACCGGCCCCGGTAGAGCGGCGTGAGTCCACGGCGCTCACCGTCTCTGTGTCCCTCCTGCACCCCCCTCCCCCTTCCTCTCCCCCCCCCTCTCCCCCCTCCCCCCCCTCTCCCCCCCCTCCTCCCCTCTCCCCCCTCTCCCCCCTCCCTCTCCTCTCCCCTCTCCCCCCTCTCCCTCCTCTCTGCCCCCCCCCCACAGGTTGCTGCGTCCACCACCCGGGGGTCCCGGTGTTCCACGACGCTCTCAAGGTGAGCGGCGGTGGCGGCGTCATCGTCATCATCGTCGTCATCATCGTCGTCGTCATCGTCATCATCGTCATCATTGTCAATATCATCATCATCGTGTGTGCGTCTGTGTGTCTCTGTGTGAGTCTGTGGGTCTCTGTGTGAGTCTGTGGGTCTCTGTGTGAGTCTGTGGGTCTCTGTGTGAGTCTGTGGGTCTCTGTGTGAGTCTGTGGGTCTCTGTGTGAGTCTGTGGGTCTCTGTGTGAGTCTGTGGGTCTCTGTGTGAGTCTGTGGGTCTCTGTGTGAGTCTGTGGGTCTCTGTGTGAGTCTGTGTGTCTCTGTGTGAGTCTGTGGGTCTCTGTGTGAGTCTGTGGGTCTCTGTGTGAGTCTGTGGGTCTCTGTGTGAGTCTGTGTGTCTCTGTGTGAGTCTGTGGGTCTCTGTGTGAGTCTGTGGGTCTCTGTGTGAGTCTGTGGGTCTCTGTGTGAGTCTGTGGCTCTCTGTGTGAGTCTGTGTGTCTCTGTGTGAGTCTGTGGGTCTCTGTGTGAGTCTGTGGGTCTCTGTGTGAGTCTGTGGGTCTCTGTGTGAGTCTGTGGGTCTCTGTGTGAGTCTGTGGGTCTCTGTGTGAGTCTGTGGGTCTCTGTGTGAGTCTGTGATCTCTGTGTGACTCTGTGGGTCTCTGCGTGAGTCTGTGGCTCTCTCTGTGTCTCTGCGTGAGTCTCTGGGTCTCTATGTGAGTCTGTGGTCTCTGTGCGAGTCTGTGTGTCAGGATGGGCAGTTCCTGGGGATTTTTCACGTAGCTCAACCATGCAGCAGCTGGTGCTGCAGCAGTAGCAGCTGGTGCTGCAGCAGTAGCAGCTGCTAAGTCTGGCAGACGGTGAAGAGCTTTGGCAGTGCAAGGTGCGGTGTTGGTGGTGGTGGTGGCAGTGGTGGTGGTGGTGTTGTTGATGGTAGTGGTGGTGGTGATGTTGATGGTAGTTGTGGTGGCGGTGTTGTTGATGGTAGTAGTGGTGTTGATGGTAGTTGTGGTAGTGATGTTGATGGTTTTTGTGGTGGTGGTGATATTGATGGTAGTGGTGGTGGTGATGTTGTTGATGGTAGTGGTCGTGGTGTGTGGCACCGATGCCGTCTGCGCTCTCTGCACAGGGCTGGTCTTGCTGCAAGCGGAGAACCACCGACTTCTCCGACTTCCTCGGCATCCCGGTGAGCAGCACTACCACAGCCGGCGTGAGATGTTGACTACCTCGCCTGGTGCGCAGGAGGTCTGTGTCTCTCTCTCATCATCATCATCACAGTGGCTAGGAGATGTTGACTACCTCGCCTGGTGCGCAGGAGGTCTGTGTCTCTCTCTCATCATCATCACGGTGACTAGGAGATGTTGACTACCTCGCCTGGTACGCAGGAGGTCTGTGTCTCTCATCATCATCACGGTGGCTAGGAGATGTTGACTACCTCGCCTGGTACGCAGGAGGTCGTGGGTTCGATCCCGACCCTGACGATGCCTGCTGCTGTATATTTGGAGTCTGCGTGTCTCTCTCTCATCATCTTAGTCCGCGTCGCCGCTTTCCGTTGTGCCCAGGGCTGCACCAGCGGGCGTCACAGCGACGTGAAGCCGCCCGAAGCCGTGAGACCCGAAGTTCGCAGCGACAAGGAGCGGGAGGCCGGGGAAGCTGGCACGGAGCGGGGAGACGCCGGGCCCACCACCATCCACACGGCCCCTCCCAAACCCATCGAGAGAGTGGAGAGGCCCAGGTGAGTGGGGGGGAGAGGGGGGGGGGAGAGGGGGGAGAGAGGGGGGGAGAGGGGGGGGAGAGGGGAGAGAGAGAAGGGGGAGAGAGAGAGAAGGGGGAGAGAGAGGGGGGGGAGAGAGGGGGGGGAGGAGAGAGGGGGGGGAGAGAGGGGGGGGAGAGAGGGGGGGGAGAGAGGGGGGGGAGGAGAGAGGGGGGGGGAGAGAGGGGGGGGAGAGAGGGGGGGGAGAGAGGGGGGGAGGAGAGAGGGGGGGGGGGAGAGGGGGGAGAGGGGAGAGGGGGGGGAGAGAGGGGGGGGGGGGAGAGGGGGGAGAGAGGGGGGGGAGAGAGGGGGGGGAGAGAGGGGGGGGAGAGAGGGGGGGGGAGGAGAGAGGGGGGGGGAGGAGAGAGGGGGGGGGGAGGAGAGAGGGGGGGGGAGGAGAGAGGGGGGGGGAGGAGAGAGGGGGGGGGAGGAGAGAGGGGGGGGAGGAGAGAGGGGGGGGGAGGAGAGAGGGGGGGGGAGGGAGAGAGGGGGGGGGAGGAGAGAGGGGGGGGGAGGAGAGAGGGGGGGGGAGGAGAGAGGGGGGGGGAGGAGAGAGGGGGGGGGAGGAGAGAGGGGGGGGAGAGAGAGGGGGGAGGGGGAGAGAGAGGGGGAGGGGGAAGAGAGAGGGGGGGGAGAGAGGGGGGGAGGGGGAGAGAGGAGGGGGGGGGGAGAGAGGGGGGGGAGAGAGGGGGGGGGGAGAGAGGGGGGGAGGAGAGAGGGGGGGAGGGGGAGAGAGGGGGGAGGGGGGAGAGAGAGGGGGGGGGAGGAGAGAGAGGGGGGGGGAGAGAGGGGGGGGAGGAGAGAGGGGGGGAGGGGGAGAGAGAGGGGGGGGGGAGAGAGGGGGGGGAGAGAGAGAGAGGGGGGGAGGAGAGAGGGGGGGGGGAGAGAGGGGGGGGAGAGAGGGGGGGGAGAGAGGGGGGGGAGAGAGGGGGGGGAGAGAGGGGGGGGAGAGAGGGGGGGGAGAGAGGGGGGGGAGAGAGGGGGGGGGAGGAGAGAGGGGGGGGGAGGAGAGAGGGGGGGGGAGGAGAGAGGGGGGGGGAGGAGAGAGGGGGGGGGAGGAGAGAGGGGGGGGGAGGAGAGAGGGGGGGGGAGGAGAGAGGGGGGGGGGAGGAGAGAGGGGGGGGGAGGAGAGAGGGGGGGGGAGGAGAGAGGGGGGGGGGAGGAGAGGGGGGGAGAGAGGGGGGAGGGGGAGAGAGAGGGGGGGGGGGAGAGAGAGGGGGGGGGAGAGAGGGGGGGAGGGGGAGGGGAGAGAGGGGGGGGGGAGAGAGGGGGGGGGAGAGAGAGGGGGGGGGGAGAGAGGGGGGGAGGAGAGAGGGGGGGAGGGGGAGAGAGAGGGGGGGGAGAGAGAGGGGGGGGAGAGAGAGGGGGGGGAGAGAGGGGGGGGAGGAGAGAGGGGGGGAGGGGGAGAGAGAGGGGGGGGAGGAGAGAGGAGGGGAGAGAGAGAGAGGGGGGGGGGAGAGAGGGGGGGGAGAGAGAGAGAGGGGGGGAGGAGAGAGGGGGGGGGAGAGAGGGGGGGAGAGAGGGGGGGAGGGGGGAGAGAGAGGGGGGGGGGAAGAGAGAGGGGGGGGAGGAGAGAGAGGGGGGGAGAGAGGGGGGGAGGGGGAGAGAGAGGGGGGGGGGGAAGAGAGAGGGGGGGGAGAGAGGGGGGGAGGGGGAGAGAGAGGGGGGGGAGAGAGAGGGGGGGAGAGAGAGGGGGAGAGAGAGGAGGGGGAGAGAGAGAGAGGGGGGGGGGGGAGAGAGGGGGCACGGGAAAGTAGTCGAAGGCTACGTGGGGGACCTTTGTCTGTGTGCGTGGGCTCGCAGCCCGGACGAGCCGATGGTGGAGCTGCCGATGACGGTGGCGACGTCGCTGAGACGGGCGCTGGAGAAGGTGACGATCGGGGCCAAGGAGACGCAGAAGGTGGAGGGTATGACGCGCACACACACGTACACACACGTACACACACACACGTACACACACACACGTACACACACGTACACACACGTACACACACACACGTACACGCACGTACACACACACACGTACACACACACACGTACACACACACACGCACACACACGTACACACACACACGTACACAAACACACGTACACACACACACGTACACACACGTACACACACACACGTACACACATACACGCACACACACGTACACACACACACGTACACACATACACACACGTACACACACACACGTACACACACGTACACGCACACACACGTACACACATACACACACGTACACACATACACACACGTACACACGTACACACGTACACACGTACACACGTACACACACACAGTACACACACACAGTACACACACACGTACACACGCATACACATATACATACACACACATATACAACAACAACAACAACCGCCATTCGCCACTAAGTGGCGGTGACGTCACCACGATGCTTGTGCCAGGCCAAGTGCACCTTGAGGCCACGTGAAGTGTCGAACGCCCGCTGGCAGGAGGTCACGGGGCAGACCCAGGTGCCACTGGTCGACTGACCGAGATGACCGAGATGACTGGCTGATGCACCACCTGTGCCCCCTACTGTGCCAACTTGCTGTGCTTTAGCCACCCGGCGCTCCGCTCGTTGTTGTGAGCGTCGCTCCTCCGCCCTCCGTTGTTGTTGGAGGGCGACTGCCTCCAATTGCCCAGTAGCGTCCTTCACGAGCCTCCTCCACAGAGGCCGATCTTGACACCGCTGGTACCAGTCATCGGCAAGTCCACTCAGCTCCACGTCCTCCTGTACCACATCACTCCATTTCTTCTCTAGCCCGTGCCGCGCCCGTTTAGCCCCCTCTATGCGGCCAAACAGACACCGCTTGGGCATGCGGTGGCTGGGCATGCGGGCTACATGACCCAGCCAACTGCTCACCATCAACCAGGTGGTGAGCGATTGTGGTGGTGGTGAGCGGTTGTGGTGGTGGTGAGTGGTGGTTGTGGTGAGTGGTTGTGGTGGTGGTGAGTGGTGGTTGTGGTGAGTGGTTGTGGTGGTGGTGAGTGGTGGTTGTGGTGAGTGGTTGTGGTGGTGGTGAGTGGTGGTTGTGGTGAGTGGTTGTGGTGGTGGTGAGCGGTTGTGGTGAGCGGTTGTGGTGGTGGTGGTGAGTGGTTGTGGTGTTGTGTTTTTGCTTCTGCAGAGGTTCAGGATGGCATGGTGCAGCTTGGCACGCTGTGCAAAAACAGCGGCTGCTCAAAGGTAACATAGACACACACACAGACACACATACAAAGATCCCCGTATAGCCTTAACAGACTGTAGGGGCAAGTGCTGTTAGCGAGCACCTATGAAGGCCGGAACGGTACACGAGGGGGTGGGTGGCCAGCACCACGCCCGACCGCCTTTGTCTCCCCAGTGGCGATGTTTACACACCGCACCAGGCACTCATTTGAGGCTGAGTCGACCTAGGGGAGGCCCAGGACCGGTTCAGATAATCGTCACTGGTGTTTGCCATGAGCGGGAATCGAACTCGGGTGGCCAGGTCCGTAGTGCAGCGCGCTAACCGCTACACTACCGCTTCCCATACACAGATACATAGAAATACAGACATACAGACACACAGATATAGACACACAGATACATACACACAGACACAGACACACAGATAGACACACAGACACAGATAAACACACAGACACAGATAAACACACAGACACACAGATAGATAAACACACAGACACACAGATACACAGATATACACACACAGACACACAGATACATACACACAGACACACACACACGGATACACACACAGACACACAGATAGACACACAGACACACAGATAAACACGCAGACACACAGATACATACACACAGACACACACACAGACACACAGATAGACACGTAGACAAAGACACGTACAAATACACACAGACGTCTGCTTTGAACCCGGCATCCCGAGTTCAACTGCTGTCCGTGTCTAACTTTGGAACATCATAGCGGGGAGGGTCTAGATGTTCTTAGGTTTTTTCGGTAAAGTCACGTAGGTAAAAAATTTTATTTAAAAAAGTAAAATAAAAATAAAATAAAAATCACGACGTTTCGGAGGCAACACAAGCTTCCGTCTTCAGGTGGAACCGTCACAGCACGACGGCTGCATCAAGTGAGAGAAATACCAAGAAAACAGTCCTTGTATATATACTGGTTGAGGGTGGGAAGAGCCAAGGTAGGCCCTGGATATTATTTTTGTGAGGTTCGGTGCGGCTGAAGCACGCTGTTTCAGTTTGCCTCCGAAACGTCGTGATTTTTATTTTATTTTTTATTTTACTTTTATTCATTTAAATTTTTTAGCTACGTGACTTTACCGAAAAAAACCTAAGAATATGAATCCTTGCAGTCACGAAAGCTTCAAATCTCGGGCCTAGATGCTCACCATCTGCATTGGGAGTATGAAGGTAGCCGGGCGTGGTGCTGGTAGCCACCCACCCCCTCGTGTGCCACAGTGCCGGCAGCCTTCGTAGATAGATAGATCGTTTATTGTCATTGTCACCAGTACAACGAAATTTAAAATGCTCACCAGTCAGGGCATCATTCATAAATTTAAATTAAATAAAACAAGAAAATAAAAATAAAATTAAATGAAAGATAATCAATTTATACTAAATAAAAAAACAGCCCAAGTATACCCACATAAGGTTACATTTTGTCATTGCACATCTCTATTTCACAATCAATTGTAAACACTATTACTTAATAATTAATTAGCATTATTGAGTGTGGTGATCGCTGTAGGATAAAAGCTCTGTTTGAATCTGTTTGTCCTTGCTGCTACTCATGTTCAAGTTTCAAGTATTAGGTAGAGAGCCCTGTGAGCCATTTGGCTCTTGAATCGGGTGCAACCGCAACAAACAAAAAACAAAAAAATTAACAAAAAACATCTTAAAGTGAATATGTGACTGAGTGCAAACAGAAATCCAAGAAAAGACAGGAAAATATTGCAGAAAAAATCACCGTTACACACCAACGCTGTGTACAAACATCCCAGTGGGATGCAAGTCAAACAACAACAACAACCACAAGACAACTTAGATTAAGGCCATCAGTCTAACTCTGTACTACAACAACACAAACATTGCTAAACCAATACACTTTTAGAAATCACCAAAACAAAGCCATAAAAGTCAAACAACAACAACAACAACCACAAGACAACTTAGATTAAGGCCATCAGTCTAACTCTGTACTACAACAACACAAACATGGCTAAACCAATACACTTTTTGAAATCACCAAAATAAAGCCATAAAAGTCAAACAACAACAACCACAAGACAACTTAGATTAAGGCCATCAGTCTAACTCTGTACTACAACAACACAAACATGGCTAAGCCAATACACTTTTCAAAATCACCAAAATAAAGCTATGAAAGCGATGAAACAGTGCAGATCATAGGAACTGTGACGGAATTTTCACAATAAATGACATTAACAACATGTACTACCACCAAAACCCTGCAGCCATAGCTGGCTGCATGAGTCACTCCACCTTTACTCGCTACTAACAGCACTTGCCCCGACAGTCTGTTGAGGCTACCCGGGGGATCTTTGTCTTTGTAGGTGCTACTCACTACTAACAGCACTTGCCCCGACAGTCTGTTGAGGCTACCCGGGGGATCTTTGTCTTTGTAGGTGCTACTCACTAACAGCACTTGCCCCAACAGTCTGTTGAGGCTACCCGGGGGATCTTTGTCTTTGTAGGTGCTGCTTGCTAACAGCACTTGCCCCAACAGTCTGTTGAGGCTACCCGGGGGATCTTTGTCTTTGTAGGTGCTGCTTGCTAACAGCACTTGCCCCAACAGTCTGTTGAGGCTACACGGGCGGTCTTTGTCTTTGTGTGATCATTGGGGCTGCTACTCGCTACTAACAGCACTTGCCCCGACAGTCTGTTGAGGCTATACGGGGACCTTTGTCTTTGTGTAGTCGTACCAGGGCCCGGAGAGCGACAGGGAGGAGTGCGTCCACCACCCGGGCGGCCCCGTCTTCCACGAGGGGTGAGACACACACACAGTCACACGTACACACACACATACACACACACACTACACACACACACACTACACACACATACACACACACACACACTACAC